TCCTGGATTGCTCACAACTCTCTCCCCTGAAAACACAAACCAATTGAGTTTCAGTTCAGCTAGTGTAACTTTAATATAGCTTCACTCGTTTATAACACTATTTGGAAACCAGGGCTTAAATCTGTGGAAGGATCGTTACGCTGTGCAAAGACTACAGTCTGCAAGGAGAACGAGAGGCTGGTTCCTATTTGATACAAAGGTGGTCCACGAAAATCTTCACTGATTCTATGTTCAAGAACCCAGACAACAAACCCGATGAAGACGAAAAAGCAAGCGCTTGTGACCCAGAGGTCCGATGTCAAAGGCTTCAAGAACACCCATGCGTTTTTCTTTGAGTCGCCTTGGATCGGGACTACCATCACTACACCGGACTCTGTATATGGTAATGTGAAGTCCACGTATAAGGACCTGTTTACCACGATAGAAATATCTCCCACCACCGCATCATAGTTCTGTTCACCATATGATTTTTGTTAATGGAGAGATCTAAGCATGGCTTAATTTTAACATATTCACAAAAAGGCAAAAAAGTGTCATCATACCCCAAGGAAGACTTGATATACCAAGTCATTATATGATCCGGTCATCTTCCCATCAGAATTTTTGAAAGGAATGAAATCGTAAGTTACGGCATATGGCATTGCACCCATGACAGCATTGAAGACATCTATGGAGTAGCCAGTGATTATAGTTGAATTGGTACTTGGATCCAGCATTTCCTTGACAAATACACTCGATCCTTCTTTCACCGGAACTCCAATCTTTAACCGCTTTCCGTTTGTCGGAATCTCCCAACCTTTAGGAACGGTATTTGAATCTCCTGGCCATATGATGGTTCCAAGATTTTCTCTGGAAGTAGAATATCTAGTCACGTTTGTAAAGTTTAACTTCTTAACAAATCCATACTTGGATGTCCAGAACCCAATTCCTCTTTCTCCGTTAACAATTTGGAAAGCAGAAGGCTTAAGTTGTCCATTAGTGAAACCAAATTCTCCACTAAGGCCTTTAAATCTTGTATTTGACAAAGTCTGGATGAGTTTGGGACCATTTTGAGAGACCCTAATGGATTGAAGTTCTGTTCTTACAGTTTGGGGAACATTTGACATATCAAAGCTGAAATTTGCAGTGCCAAGTCGCTCTACCGCCATGGCTAGTGCAAATGTAGCATCATAAGCCCATAATCCAAAAATGTCTAACTCAGCATTGACCATACTTGAATTGTCCTGCAAGAACTTCCTTTTCCATCTAAGCTTAAAGTTATCTAACTTTTTCGATTTCGGAACGTAACTCCTCACCCCCAACACTCCCTGCAGCTTGGAATCCATATCCCAACAATCCATCAAACGATGATTAGTCAACCCATCAGTCATGATCCAAACATACCCTTCAGTCATCATCCCAATCTCTTCTGCTTTGTTGAAAACCCGACACCCAAGGTTTGGTGCCATATGAACAATGAATACTCTAGTCTTCATTGTCATTAACTTATACAGCTCGTCTTTAATTTCCTCATCTGTGGCTCCTGGAGATATAACAGACCGGTAAGGAATCCGAGCATTGACATCTTCCAAAGCATCAGACAAATATGGTATCAGTCCTTCTCCAAACTCGTTATCTTCGCAAATGGGTACTGCTTCTCTCCATCCAAAAGCTTGGATGATTGCACTAATGGCTCTAACCTGAGATGAATCATTTTGGGTCGCTCGGAAAAAGTATGGACTACGGATGGACGTAAGAGAAGGACTTGTGGCAGAGAAGGATATGATGGGTACTTGAGACTTGTTTCCAAGACTTATGACGAAGTTTGCCTCCATTGAATTCGTCGGCCCTATGATTGCTTGTACTCGTACATTGTTAATCAAATCCAGAGCTGTTAGTTAAATCAAAACATACCAAATCAGAACATATGCTGACTTGTGAAAAAATAGCAAGAGAAGTCCGTTAATTGATATTGCTGTACTACATTAAAAGTAGAGTCAAATATATTTCCTAGTCCAAAACCTCGCAACGAGTTAG